TAAAATTTTATCCTTTTATCATTATTTTTCACAAAAGCGAAAAAGAATTTTCTCTACATTTTCCCTCTTTTTTTCGTACATACAATTATCTTCTGTCGATAATTTAATCGAGAACCAAAAAAGTTAATCTTAAATATGATTCCCTTAAAAATATTTTTCGAATCACGAAAATTTTAATAACAAACTGTTTAAACCATCGAATAATTGCACGCCAACAGTTTATCCGCGAATAAAACTATTCGAAATTCTAACTAATTATTCAACGGGTATTCAACGGGGTCTCCACCTCGTATCCGAGACATCCGTGTGCAAAAATTCTTTTTTCCGTCCCCGTGTACAAATATCATTAACAGGCGATTAAAACTCGTTCCCCTGACCGTGTACCAATATTATAAATCGCGAGCGCCAAACACGCCGCGATAATTAGGCACGCAGTCCTCGCGGCAATTATTTACATATCCACCGGGGACGATCATTCGCGACGATCCTCTGGTTCTGGCTCGAAACGAAAGTGAACGTATATATATATATACGTGGTCGCGCCACTATTCCAGATCAGCGATAAGGATCGACGCTATAATTCCATCGAGGGAAAGAAGAGAGAGGAGGGGAGGGGAGAGATCTCTACCGAACGATCTATACTCTCACTCGTTGATCAGAGGCCCGCGGTATCCTTTATAAGATAATCTCGAGATGCCCGCGACGCGGCTCCAGCTATTTACGAACTGGGGGAATCTTGTAAATCGTAGGTTCGTGCCTCCGCTATCTACTATTCGTCACGAGAGGCCGGGCCCGCCTCCGTCGTCGATCACCACCTGAACTTTTGCCAACGTTTTCGAAGCCTGTTAACGAAAGCGTATATAGCACAACGTACAGCCACAACGCGATCCATCATGACTATTTTTTAATCCCGGATTTATGGTGTGATAAATTGCTCGCCGCTCGATATATACGCCGCGGTGATTATTGCGCTTTGCGATTTTGTACTCCGCGCGCGTTCCGAGATTCGAGAGAGAGAATTTTGCGTGCTGGGTATATAGATATTCGCGTATGGATTTACGTAACTGTGAATATCGGTCGAAATTTTGTGGGAAAATTGCGTTCGAGGTTTGCACCGACCTAGAGTTGGGTAAAAATTCGTTGACGTTCGATGGTTTGGTTAGGTTAGGTTATATATTATATCTTGGATAAGTTTGTAAGAAATCTAGATGCTTGATTTCTCTTGAATAGCGTTGAGAGGAAAGAAAGGAATATTTTTTTATTAAATATTTAATTGTAATATTTCAATTTATTCTTACCATTCTTTTTTTCCTTCTAACCTCTAAATTTACCATTCAACGATTCGATTTGACACTTTAATTGGATTAAAATTTAATTGTAAAGGAAAGAAGCAAGCCCAATTACGTAAAATCTTTTAAAAATATCGATCAACATTCGTATAGGAAAAAAAAACATTACCTCCGAAAACCCTCGAGAATTCTTGATTCGTTCAGTATTCGCTTCGAAGAATGAAAAAGGAGGTCCTTGATGCAACAGCGAGCCACGTATACCACGTATTCGTATTTGGCCCCTCGTCATTCTCGAATCGGGAGGATGGCATGATCGAAATATAGCCGAGGTCTCTCTCCCTTTTTCGTTCGAGCGTTCATGAATATGCATGACTAGGTGGGTGCCCGCGCAAAAATTTACGGCCCTGACAGTCTGACGTTTCGAGGACCGCAAACGAGGCCTAACGATACCCGTGGATATAATCGGGACTGACAGTCCTCGAGGAACCACGTTACGCCTCGAAATCGGCCGAATCGTTCGACCGTGTTTTCAGAACGTCACGGAGATGTTGTCGAGTGGTTTCTTGCGATACTACTTGCTGGAATCGAGCGTGTTATCGAACGAGGCGCCACACCACGGTGGATAAACAAACGATGATATATAAGATTCTTCGAACATATAGTTTGTCGTTTTTCGAATGAGATGAAAAAATACAATCGTATTTTTATTGAAAATAGATGCGAGAAGAATAATCTATCGAAATAGAAATCGGTCTGTCGAATTAGATTTTGAGATTAGGAAGAAAAAAAAAAGATTAAAGTTATATTAAAATATTATAAAGAATATTCGAATATTTATACAAAACATTACTTGTTGATGTTTTTATCGAAATTTGTCGAGTTAGAAGTTTTTGAGGTTAGGAAGAAGAGTGCACCTTTTTTTTTTTAAATAAGACTAATAATTTTCAAGTTTTCTAAACTTCCAGAAAAAGTTATATTAAAATATTATCTTTATAATATCCGAATATTTATACAAAATATCATTAAAATTAATACGTAATAATACATAAGGATCGAGAAATAAAAGAAATAATCGTCTTCCGCGATTAATTACCGTAACCAAGAATCCAGTCAGATCTATGTAGAAACCCTGACGTTTGACAATTCCAAGAGTGGGCAATGTGACACGTTAATAACTTCGTTCCAGAGAAAGCTTGGTTGGATAAAGTGGAGGAAACGAATTCGTGACATCGTGATCCTCGTGTAAGAATACGAAAGCCGATGCTAACGAGCCGGTAACGCTTAATTGTCCCGGGATTAATCAATTTGCCCGTACCCGCTATCAGATCCATAATTACAACGTCGGGTTTAAGCTCTAATTATAAAACAATCCATCGTTCCTTTGACGATGATCGAGCAGGGTACCCGGCCGAGTGAATGGGTATCGCACTTATAAGCGATTAAAATCAGACACGGTTCACAAAAACATCATTTGAACCGGTTGCGTGACATCGTGAAGGATTACTAGAAGACGGATGAAAAGTTGTAGGAATCCTCTTTGAGGATTCAGGAACGCGGATGAAAAAGAGCGAAGAGAAGAGAGAGGACAAAGATGATTATGCGAGGAGAGGAAGTGGTCGATGGAATGAAGAGTATTGTGGCATATAGAATTTTAATTTCTTACTGTGAGCAGATATATGTTTCGTTCGAGATGGAGTCCGATTATTCTGGAAATGGTTATGCAATAAAGAAGTATTTCGCGTAATAAACGAATTGTATAAATTAAAACGTGGTAATTCCTGTATTAATTTCCAATGTTAATTCAATCGTTCCATTTGTTATCAGCGTTATTAAGCAATTGAGCAGCTAATAACTTCGAAGAAAAATGATCGGATAAAAGTCAAGTCGTGTAAAGACAATATCGTATATCTCTGATGCATCGATAATAACGATGAATATTTAATGAACAATCGAAGAAGACGAAATTTTAACTTCTGGTTTATTAAATAATAACAATATATCTTAGTAAAGCAAAAATTCTAAATTTATTCGCTCGTATTTTCAAATTTTTTAAGATAATATTTTTTTTAAAGTTTGATTAAAGTTTAATTCGATGGAATTTTAGCTTTTTTAAATTTTATTTATTTATTTTTCTTTCCCTTTCATTGGGAGGAAAAATTCTATTCAAAAGGAGAAAATTCGATTCCTAAAATGTCAAATCCACGTATCTCAATCATTTCCCCGAATCGAAACTCAAATCCACGTCCTTCTCTATCTTCCCCCTTTCACTTCATTCCATTCCACCACACCATCCTTTACCGACGCTTATTTTCACCACACGGCGTCCACTACAAACACACGCCAACAACACACGTAAACAAAGTGTCGAATTACCTTTCGAGAAGAGACAACTATTTCCCATTCCATCGAATCCGCCACGTGAAAAGACAATAAAAACAAGCGAACCGAACGATTACGAATAACTTCACGTTTCTATGTGGAATGTTAGCCTAAGGTTAGAAGAGAGAGAGAAGAGAGAGAGAGAGAGAGAGAGAGTTCTCATGCGAGAAAAAGGGGGAGAAAGTGCGGACACGAGGATCAGAGAGGGGTGCTGGGTCGATTCTAGCTTCGAGGGGTCATTATAGAGCTCTCTTAACCGTAGAACACGGTCTTCTTGCCAGCAGACTGTCCGGATTGACTGATGTCAGGTCATTCAGAGCTTCCTAGACCTCCTCCGGTTGCCTCATCGACGTGACGACGTGGAAGTCGAGAGAGGAGGCCTATCTTTCCAACGATATTGCGCGACGGATCTCGATACGCCTCATTACGCCAACGACTTTCAAAAGCAATTAAAACTGGCACGTTCGAAACTTATTCCATCTCGTAACAGCGAATCGCTCGCTGTCGAGTTGTTCATTCGTCGTCGGTCATTTGCCGGGGTTTCGAGAGATCGCGTGATTTCAACAACCCACGCGTTTTTTCATGTCTCTTCTCTCTCTCTCTCTCTCTCTCTCTATCTATCTGTCTCTGTCTCTGTCTCGTGAAACGTTTGATGGGTTTTAGTTCGAGTTTCCTTGATATATTCATGGATAGTCGTGGGTAAGAAGAGAAATTTCTTGGTGAAATCGGAGCGACAGGGAAGCAATTAAAAGCGTAGCCTTTGGTGAACCTGGGTTTTAATTATGAACACGGTGAGTGAGGTTAGGATTGAGGAAGTCAAGTAATGGGAGGCGAGGATTTTGAAACGTAGCGTAATCCGCGAGTTTGATAGAATAGTGTAGTAGATTGTTCTGTTGATTTTTTTTCTTCTTTATGATATTATGCATAACAAATGAAATTAGATATCGTTAATCAAAATCGTTGACTAAACGCTTTTATATTTTATACGTTAAAGTCAACTACTTGAAGCGATGAAAATTTTAATTCAAATCTCGTTTCCGAGCTAGCGTTAAATTCTATCGCGAAACTAAATTAAAAAAAGGAAAAACACGATAACCTGAGCGAACAATATTTTACTAAGAACCCTAACCTAGATTGGTTAACCTCTCGTCATCACGGTACAAAGTTTCCTAGCGCCCGTGGCGTTTCTTATGAAACATTGGCAAACATTATCTATCGTTTATTTGCCACGATGTTGCAATTGCCATTTGCGAAATTTACGCCCAATGTTATAGTAACGTAAAAATGGAAAAATCGAAATCAGCGGGAGGGAAGAAATTCGAAGCCACTCACCTGTGCATACTCTGCGCAAATATCGATCGACGACACGTAATTGACGACGTCCTCGATGGTCCATCGATTGACAGCTTGTCCATCGCCGCATGGCATGTGGCCACACAGGGATGGACATCTGACTGGAGGTGGTGTGGTGGGTCGGGGGGTTGGCTTCGGTTTCGGAGACACCGATCCCGATCTCCTTGTTTCCGCCCTCTGCCTTTTCCGCGGTGCGAATCCGCCTGGACTCGACAGATCAAGAGGACTCGTCACTCCCGTGTCTCTTTTGTTCGCACCTGTACGCATCACGGACAATTCAAATTTTTTCGAATGTTTTAAACGTTTTGTCAAACGTGTTATATGAGCGAATTTCATTCAAGATAAATAAGAATCAGATATATTTATATGGGATAGATAGATAAATAAATCATGATGAAATTTATCATTAAATTTTTTGAACCCACAGCGAAAATGTTAAATTAATTAGAAAATTAAAGAAATTTATTTTAGGCGTGTCTTTAACTGATTTATAATTATTTTCCTCTTATTTGTGAATTTTGAACGACAATTTAATGTAAAAAAAGTTCTTATTTTGTAAAAATATCCACACAATTTAGTTTTATAAATATTAAATTGTAGCAAATAAAAATTAAAGTTAAATTTACTTCTATTTATGACTTTTATCTCAGAGATTAATAAAACGATATTAAATTTGTACAAATGCAAACTAAAAAAAATACACTTACGATTAATTTGTGAGAAAATGCGGAATATTCGTAACGAGATGTTACGCTTAGGGCGGTCGGCGACAAACTAAACGTTCGAAGGTGTTTAAACGAGCACGAGGCTCGTATACATACGAGGCTCAAATCAAAACATGGAAAGATTGATAACATTTTCCGAGAATCGATAATCAAACTTATTATAAGGAAAAGCAAAGGCGAAGTTCGTAACAGGTGTTGTATCATACATAGACAAGAAGATAATAATAAATAATATTAGCGGAATATTATTTCTTAATAATATTCGATCTCTCAAAATTTGAATAAATATTGTCCATTTTATGAATGTTAATCTGTCTAAATTTGCATAATTTAGGTACGAATATTTTATGACTCGAAATATAATTTTAATAAATATACAAATACGTATTAAAATACGAGTTCGATAACTTTTTAATTGTTTCTCTATTGATATTTAAAATTCAAACGACATAGATCAAAAAATTTTTATATATTCTCTCTATTTTTCTTCTGAAATTCCAAAATTATCATAATATATTCAAGAATATATAAAAATATATTCAAGAATATTATTTTTATTTAAACGTATTTGTATAGATATTTTTAATTAACTATTAAAATATTCATATCTTTCCTTCTAATAATAAGATACAATTTATCTTTGAATATCGTAGCTAAAAGATTAAATTAAAATACTACACACATCGATGAATTCTACTTTTAAAACATTTTTCAAAAACTTACCTATCACAGAATGTTTATTGCTATTTAACTTTTCAAAAACAAAATAAAATTTATCTCAATGACTTGCAATATGATTTCCAAATACCTCACAAATCTCTACCATCGTTTTTAATCAACGAGAAAATAAACCTCAAATAAAGTAAGAATTCAACAGTAATAAAATCATATTTTATAATTACCTTTGAGATACGTTTCCAGTTCTGCAGCATTTTGTGCAGCATTCGCGGTCCTCACCATGTGCAAAAGTGCTTGCGTCGACGACATGTCCAGCATCGGTGGGAACACGGGATTACCGAACAGACTGTCCTGCTTCTGCTCTTTCGGATCTTTATTGGATAGAGGGGAGGTGGTGGACACGGTTGACGGTTGTGGCGCACCCAGCGGCGCCATCAAACCGACGAAGGGTGTGGCGGCAGTTTTGAACGCCGGAAACCTTGGATCTAGGCCTGGAGGATAGCCGTTTCTGGGCGAACTGAAGTAGCTGCAAATCAACGTTTGCTTTCGTTAATTTTTGAAGGAAATATTCAGCAAAAAGTTGTAGAAAAGATTTTGTGAAAAAAAAATTTTTCTTCTTTTTTGGAAATACGAAAAATTTATTATGTAAGAATTTAAAGGTAAAAGGATTACGATCGTTATAAATCTCTGACGTTGTTTTAATTTGAATAAACAGGTGTCTTGAATTTTAATGAAATAATTATATGTGTCTGTCTATTACGAGATTATTATGAAGATTTGAAGAGTGATAAATTATGTCAATAAAGTTAATATTGTTTATTGAAGATTTGTATTTAATTATCTAATTATTAAAGTCGTTTCTGAATGAAATGTAATTTGTAGTTGACAATATTTAACAAATTAAGTATGCAAGATTTTAAATTCACTGTGTAATAATTCACCGCGGAATCGGCATTACGTACACGTAGTTAAATATGATTTTCTAGAATCGAGTGATTTCATAATTCTTATCATCAAGTTTTATATATCGTTTCAATTATTTAAAGTATAAAAATTAAAGATATAATTATCTAAAGTTCAAAATCATAATTTGAAATTCCTAAGAAAATTTTTAAAATAATTTTTTAATTCGAAAAAATATTCGTTCAATTGTAATCGAGTAAAATTTTCTAAAATGAAATATTACATCTCTGTCTCGTAAAATTGCTTCGAACGATCTTACAACGATTCCAATAATAGTCAACTCAAATCTCGGATATCAAGTTCAACGTATTCATTCAACAATTTCTTAGCATGAAATATTACTTATTATAAAATATATATTTAAAATATTCGCATAAAAAAATTTTAAAAATGCAAGAATATAATAAATCTATAAAATATTCTTTTTTATGTAAACTCGAATATTTTAATAAACATACCAATAAAATTATTCCAATGCAATTATGCAATGTAATGCAAAAAAAAAATCTATTGTATGATTCAAAAAAAAAACGAACAAATATCAAATTCTAGAATAACAATTCTTCGATACCAAACCAGAGAAATCTATAATCAGAAGAAAGGTTGGATTTCATATCCATTTTAAGGCCACGTTCAATCCTATCATGTACACTTACACTCCAAAGAGACATTTATTCCCATTACAATATGTTGACGCTTATTTCCTATGTTTCTTTAATAATTCCTATGTCATAAACAAGCATCAACCTTCGTTCAACTACCAACAGAAAAACATGAAAGAAGTCTTGAAGGAACACGACGGAACGGAAAGTTTCTCTCATTATTACTTCAACAAAGACACGATTCAATATCATTTCTCGTCACATCCTGCTCATACGTGGAAGGACTCCAGGATCCATATTTATTCATCGGAATCGGAACAAGTTACTTTCTCCTCGAAACGCCACAGATGCGATATTCTCATCGGATCGACCGACCAATCTTCGGCCAACAAGCTGCCGGAAGCTGGAAAGCAACGTGGAGAAGCTGCGACCAGTTACAGACGACAATATCCTCCTATCAAGACGCTCGGTCCAATGGTCTGATGAGTCGATCGATATTTCAAGACGAGGCGATCGATATTCTCTTTTATACCGGCTGTGCGCAACATTCTCGTCAAGGATTGCTTCTTACGCGTTTCTACGATTCCTACGTATGCACGTGGAACACGGAGGAAAGTACGAAGAATGTCAAGGCAAGCGTGATGACTCTCTCAAGGTCTTATACTCTTTAAATAATACAGCGTTTGTTGTGGACGTGCCTGATATCGATTGATTGGATTCGAGAGAATGATGGTAGAAGTTTTGCATTGAGAATAATTATAGAAGGGAATCTACGAGCCTCTTTACCGACCGAGATGTTTCTAACCTCTTTTCGACAGTGTGGCCATCTTTTTGTAGCAATCAATAAAACTATAATACGTAATATACGCATAGAAAGAACTTTAATATTCGATATTTAATCTACTTTATTAAATTATTTCTAGAAAATAATCAAGGTTTGTTTCGTTGAATTGAAATTTTTAAAAAATGCTTTAAGTCTTAACAATTATTTTTTGCATGGATAATTATTTCAGCAAATCTTTCTATGTGATAACACGTAGAAAGAGATCGTGAACTTAAATTTTTCTCATATTTGAATCAATCTGCTAATGGTTAGGAATGGAGATTTCAAAGAGAGAGGAGAGGTGTACTCACTCATTAGGATTGGCGTTATTGTACTTGGCAGCGAGGCTTCTCATGAAATCGCTATAATTCCGACCCATCATCTGCTCCATGTGTTTGAGGTGATGGGGTGGTGGTGGGCCCTCGGGTCCACCCAAAGGGGTAGCATTTGGTGGCGTTCCTGGATGGCTGGACGACGAGGGCGTCACGCTCCTCGACGACGTTGAATTATTGTCTGGCGTGAGCCGTTCTGTTTTAACCTGGAACACAAATATCAATTCTGAACTGAGAAATCAACCAGGAGTTAATTTTTATAAATTAAATTTTACAATATTTACAATATTGTATTATAATTAGAAGAAACTAATCGTTGAATAATAATTACACAAAAATATAATAACATATGTAAAATTTAAATTCTTAGTCTTGTAAATTTAAATACGTGTAATAGATTGTTTAATATTTATATTTATATTCTTCTTCAAATTACACGTTCTTTTTTATGACCAATTATCTCTAAAGAAATCTTTGATGTGAAATTAACCTTAGCATCATATACATAATACGTGTATAACAACATATTATTAAATATAACACGTGTACTTCCAGAGATAACTATAACCATAAGGAATGAATCACGTCTCAAACGTAAACGCATTGTTGAAATAGCCAATTAAAACATAATTAATCATTCGATCGCCTAAATAGCTACCTCGCAAAAAACATCAGCTAAAAAACAGCTTATTACAAAAAATAAAAAAATCCTATGCTGCCTTCGCACTAATTCTCGTACCATCAATCATATCACCTACAATTTTCACACTTCCACATACAAATTTTTATATAAGAATAATATTCCAAAAAATTCCATATGCGACACGTATTACAGAATTATCCCAAAAATAAGAAAAGAAATCCTTATTGTATCCTTCGAATAAAAATTTTCATATCCGACAAAAAATATTCCGTATGACACAAATTACTATTCCAAAACTTTCAACAAATACTTTCATAAGAATCTATTTCACAAAAAATATAATTGGACAAATTTTAAAAAGTATGCACCACTCCAACTTCACACTTCCGTTTCAAAACTGAAAATTCTAAATATACACACAAACGCACACAAAAAAAAGGAAGAAAGAAAAAAATTCCAAGACATGCCACTATACAAAAAAAAAAAAACCAACTAAGAAATTCGCGGTGTTCCTCGTCATTGAAAACGTCATCCTCGACCGATCTACTGGTATCCCCGGCTGGGGGATGGGCGGCAGGAAATATCGGTGCGCGTTAATTCCCGTGGAACAGATTGCATCTGAGATATGGTAATGAAGGGAACGCGTGGCGTAACAGTTGACTCCTCTTCGCCGTTGAGAAGGCGACGTGACACCAAGAAGAACGAGACTCGATTGGCGTAGAATAGAGTCCCCGAGGAGGCCGTACCGCCACGGTAAATCTCTTTCTCGCCTCGAGACCTCTTCCTGACAACGGCCTCTCGCAACGTAGACACGATCCCAACCGTGTACAAGCCTCTCCGTGGCGATCGTCCACCCGTTTTCGCCCGCCACTCTCTTCTGCGGGTGAAACCGCAGGGGCAGAGGGACGGTACCCTCGATAAAACGAGAAATATAGAGTTTCGATAGAGGGACAGAGGAATTTGCCAGAGTTCGGTCGATCTTCGGTCGAGATGGAGGTCGAACGGTTTTTGGAGAAGATGGTAGATATTCTTTTATTCTTTTTTTGGTTTCGAGAGTGGAAGGATTGGAGATGGAAGGTACGTTGATTGGCAGGTACGTTTTGCGGAGAAATTGAAGCTTACGGCGTTCGAGAGTATGGTAATTTAAAGGAAAAATGATAAAATGTCTAGTTTTAGAATGGCAATCTTCTGATGAAATTATTTATTTTTAAAAAGGGATACAATATAGGAATAATATATAACGATCGGCTCATAGCTTTTATTTATCTTTTCAAAAATCTATCGATTACTTCTTTCGACTCTTAAACTTTTTCTTCGTTTCACTCCCTCGCTAAAGTAAACTACTATTAACAACTAAATCCAGTAGTTTTATCACATTCTCAATTTTCTGTCTCACTCTCTATCCTCAATCCAAGATTTTTAACTTTCAAAATATTTTTGAATCAAAACCAGAAGCAAATTATTAATGCATCGATTACAAGGAACGAACAGCCGATCCAACCGTATCAAGATTCCACGTCGATCCATCGTTGACGTTGTTTCTTCCACGCGAGGATCTTCATCGAACTGTCTACCAGTAACCGTGCAGCAGTAGAAGAATTTTCACATGTCATTGAACGCCCATTCTTTTTCGAACGATGATCGTCCATATCTCCTGGCCATTCGCCTTCCTCGCTTCTTCTTCTCTTCTTTTCTTCTTTCCTTTATTTTTTCCTCCTCTGTTGCCCTCTGCACCGCATTTACAGAAGCGTCGAACGGCCGCGCGCGTGTGTCAACGACGGGATGACACTGCGACTTCGTTTGACATCGCTGTCACAGAGAGGAGGCCTGCCTCGAACGAGACCGCTTCCACTGGTAAACTTTATCTCGAGAAGCCTCCTTTTGCCCGTTCCCGATCAAACACTCGACACTCGATGCTCGAGACACGAGCCTTTTGGATATTTGTTGGAAGGCAAACAGCGCGAGATTCTTTTTTTTTTTTTTTCATTGCTTTCCTTTCGAAAGACGATTTTTAGGTAACTTTTGTGCGAAAAAGAGTTATTGGTTTTATGATTAGTTGCCGAATTAATTTACGAAGTTAATTTAAGGGTCTACGTAAGAATTCTACGTAAATTTCATCGTTGATGTCTTCAACGAATTGACCAACGAATTTTTATACTTCTAAAGATATAGAAGAAGGTCTTCTTCGTATTTAACAGTCGTCGATTACAGGAAAAGAATTGGAAATACAATGGAGGAAGAAGGAAGACGATTTAAGATTGATTAAAATTTAACTTACTTGAGTGGTGTCGAGACCATTCTGGTTTTGTCGTCTCCTACCCCTTAGCGGTCTGGGGGTGGCCGCACCGGAAAGGTGGGCACCCTGGGGGCTTCCGCCCCTCGCGTCGACCGCTGTGTTCGCGGCCAGGGTGGCCCCGTCGTTATTTTCCGTGTGTGTGCCTAAATCGGTCGCCTCTCCACGATCGCCACTACGTGGTCCAGAACCCGCGGACACGTTCTCACCTGATACCTCACCTGCAAAAGGAAAAAGGAAGAAATTTCTTCGTGTTCGAATATCGATCGAGAGTGTATCGATCGATAAACACCGTGACAAACATTGTGTAATATCAAGATAGACAGATTGAAGCATTACTTAGATCTAACCACACATGACGCACATTGAGCTGATAATGTAACAAGTTTCTGCCATTATCTAGGTATTCTAGGTTACTTGTGTATCATTCCTCGTATCTTGTTTGCTGCTTATTATATTATATTTGTAACGATAAAAGATAAGTTCATTAATAAATTGGAAATTTTCTAAATTATTAGTAGCGAATGATCAAGAATGATTAAACTCTCGCACTCTTCTACGTTTTAAAAAGAAAACATACGTGTGTATGGATCTCACAGTACACAGGATTAATTAATTTATATCTCAAAATAAAATGTATCAATTGCAACGATATAAAGAGCTCCAAGAAGCACGTATAAATCGAAATGCGATATGTATCATTTCATCTTATTTAGTTCACTTTATTATCTCGAACTGCATATCCATAATCCTCCGCCTAACCTCCTTCAAATGCCTCTGTTCACACACCAACAAAATATGAAACAGGAACAAATCCAGCTTAAATAACCCGAGCCACGTATAATCCCAAACCCAATACGCAATCTTTCTCACCCTATCCATCTTAAATCCCTAGAAACCAAGCAGCCAATACCCGATACATCCATCCAGCGTTTACGTTAAAGTCGAGCCCCCCGTTCCGATCAGATAATCCATAAAATATCGTTTTCTCACGTGACGATCGACTTCTCTTACCAGCGCACCAAAGCCCCTTCTTCCAACGGTTCAAAACTCGGCATTTGCCTTTGCGTCAACTCGTGGCTCGTATTTCGACGTTTCCACGATAAATCCAATCTCGTACCATACGTTTCCCTCTCGATCGACTTCTTCTTCTTCTTCTTCTTCTTCGTCTTCCTACTTCTCTTTCCCTCGCCCATAACACCGGTTTCGTAACGAGGCGGTAGCCAGAGCCGCGTCGTAAAGCTTCTTTAACGTCTTTGCGTGTAAACGGTGTCTTTCGACACCAGGAATTTCGATGAAATACGCTTTAAGGGGTATAACCGTACGGGAGGACGATTACACGCCGAGAGCGCCGCTAGGCGGAGAAGTCGGGAGATTTACGTCCAATAAATGAACCCGTCCTGGCGCCATTATCTTCATGCTCGATCAGTGGAGTGGACGCGTATGCGCCGCGCGTGTAAGAAGTATTGCGACCGTTTCGAGATGTGAGGGTTGGGAAGGGAGCAAGGCTTGGACAAATTTTACTCGAGATAAGATAGCGAATAATAATTCGATACAATTTATTAATATTTCCTTTCTTTCTCAAATTAGATTTCAACGTTATAAACGTTGTTGTTGTTACGTGGCAGTTGGTAAAATAAGATAAATGATGAACGATTCAAATCGATTATTTCGTCTGATCAAATGAGATTAAACGTGAGTAATACTTTTTATTTTGAAAATGTTAAAGAATTTGAGGGAAGAGAGAGAGAGAGAGAGGGAAGGGAGAGATGGTCGAAGGGTCACTGGTCGCATTAGCTACCAAAAATATCCAATAAATTCTTGCCATCGTTAAATGGCCGGAATTTTATGGCGGCTGTAACTCGTGCACACAGCCGAATTTGTTGGACGATAGGAATCGCGATCGTTCCACGCGATGCGAGATCGTGATGATTCCACTGATGCCACCGACGAGCATCGTGCCGGTGAATCTTCAGAGGCAAATTTGTTACTCGTGTTAATTTATCAGTGGAGAATAACGTTTGAGAATTCGTTGGCTGAACCAATAAGAATGTTATCGATAATTTTTCCAATTTAAAAGGGATATAAAAAGATCTGATGAGATATCTTCTTCTATCTCGAAGTTTTCCTTTGAACGTTAAAAATTCAACTTTAAATTAATCTTTCGGTGTGTGAATTTTAATTTGTGTTTTGTTTTATTTCTTTTTTTTTTTTTAATAGAATACAAATTTAAACGTTTCAAAATTATTAATGAATTAATTTAGATTTGTTTTGCATCATGTTATTTTATACTTCAACAATAGATCAGAAATTGTCTGTACAGATTATTAATTTAGAAACTTTTTAAAAGCTTTTGTAAAGATAATAATCGTAAGTAAGAAAATATAATAGTTTAGCCAACCGATTAACCTCTTAGTGTCAAATGCTGTCTTTAGCATAATCATGCATTTCTTTATATTAGAATAAACAATGACATATCAGATATTACGTTATTTAACGCCAAGAGGTTAACAATCTATTCACTTTACAAGTATATTTCTATTTTAAGATGATGTAAATTGAATAATAGAAGAACAATAAACAACATTTTCAAAACTTGTAATAATCGATATTTACGATACTTAATTTCAATGTTAACCTGTAATAAAAATAAAAAAAAGTAGACAAAAAGTATTATATAAAATATAATAAAAAAAAATCGCAAGAAAGCAAAAGTTTCACGAATCAAAAAATTCCCCCTTTGTGAACATACAACAAAGTATATAAACTTCAAAGTTAATGAAAGAAAATAAAATAAATTTTGCAACAAGCGAAATTCCTTGATCAAATTATCATTCTTCCTCAATGTATTTCAATTTAAACAGCAATACAATTATATTTTAGAGCCTTTAATTATCCTCTTCATCGCGTCAAACCAACCTCTCAATGGAATTCCAAACCAATATACCCGGCAAGAATTAGAAAAGCAGTAACACTAAAGAATCATCCTTTTAACGGAAATATTGGCTATCGAGAGAGAAGCTTCTACCGTTCGATTATATAACTTTTCCAATTTCAATCCGCTCGATCCTCTCTCCACACCGTTAAACAAGATCGAGGGGCATTAAATTACAGTATACCGCCGTTTACGATGCACAGTGTATATATACGCGAGCGTGAAGATACACATTAAACCGCTTTTACAACTTCCCAGAGAATGGTATTCCCTGAAAATCGGTGAAGTTCTAGCGCCTTGCTTTAAGAAAATCCGCTGGATGAAGGAGGAATCTGGATGAGGGAACATCGACCGTAAAAGTCATTTCTATGACAGTCATTATCCAATGACTTCATCGTTTCGAGGCGGTATATTTACCGCTTCTCATCAAAATTCTATTAGACATCCTGCTCCAATAGGAGATGGGCTTCGTCTTCTTCTTCTTCTTTTTTTTTTTTTTTTTTTTTTTTTCGTTTTTTTCGTTCTAGATGATGTGGAAATTCACCAAGAAGATGAGAAGAAATTCATGAAATCTTCTTCCTCGATGAACTTGGCTAATGAGCAAGTGTTTCACGCACGTATCAAGGTTTAAAATATTGAAAAGAAGTATAAGAAAAAAATAAAGTTTTCCTTTAAACAAGATTTTCTACCGATGTGTCTGGACAGACACGTGACCTAAAATTAGATTTATGGCGAAGAAAGCTCATAAAATTTCGTATACACTCATCGTGGATATCGTCACGTTTCCTTCAAAAGATACACTTGGAACCGCAACTTTTATGAGCGCGGTAGCCAAGGCTAAGTCACGTACGACAAATATCGTAACTCATATTCCGGAACTGTCGAACTATTGTTTGCCGATTGTTTCTTCGATTCTGCACAGTTGTTTGCGGATGAATGAAAAATTGTTTGCAGTTACGGTGGTCGTAGCCGGTAAAAGGTACGACTCAGCATGTGAATCGTTTTTAAATCGTGGACGAACTGTCTTCAAACATTTGTCGTTTCTATGTAATCATTGAGAAAATATTGCAATACTATGAATAACGTTAGAATCGCCTATAATCTTGGTATTCAAAGATTCAAATTTTAAATATTCTACTTTACTCTGTATCGCGACATTTTTAATTTTCTTCTTTTATTTTATACAATTCTCACTCTCATTTATCGCGAATCTCAATCTTTTAATAATAAATTTCTTATTAGAAAGAAAGTTTATCTACAATGAAAAATATATCCGATCTTAAATTATTTTTATTCGGTAAAAATGAAAATTTTCACTTACGGATTATCTTTAGAAATCCTCTTTCTATAAAAATTACTAGTTTGCATCCGCTGATTGAAAAAGTACAGTGTTTTGTATCAACAACTGTGCAAGTTTTACGTATAGAACTCGTGGCAAAACTGACTACACCGAGTTCAAAGAAGCAAGTTTTCATAGCAGGTGAGCCGAGGTTCGAGGTGCGACGACACACTATTGTTAGCTCGTATTAACACATCGTTACGATATTTCACACTCAAGCTTCACATTGTTTCCGACTTCGTATGGAGGGACTTTTGTATCTTCCATGTATGTATACATAAATATTTTTATCCTTTTGTAAACAAAAATTTCAAATATTGTTCTTATTCTTAAAAAAGAAGGAATAAATGTATTCAAGAAAATAGCAATTCCACCAAAAAAAAAAAAAATTCTATCTAATTCCTAAATTATTGAAAAAAATTGTATCGTAATCTTATTGTTTAGACGAATTTCAGAATTTAGAATTTCATTGGTCTCTATTTCTTTACGAAAAAATTAATATGAATGTGAAAAAAATTAAGAAATAATCGGTTTGTTACTTGATGCTAATTGTAAAAAGATATAGAATGACAGCGCCGCGTTGCGGCGCGACAGTGTAACAAAGATAAATCTATCTCTTTCTATCCATCTCCAACTTCATCACGCTTCGTCATAACATAAATTCCTTAACGACTTAATAACTTAATCGACATTTCAACTTTCGTTCTTGTTTTATAATTAACCTTCCAAAGATTAAATTGAAAGAATAAATTAACAAGAATTTTGCTCGATTTTTCTACACATATTTCTAAAATCTTTCGTATTGTAATGAAAAAAACTCGCTATCAATATGGCGGAATATTGCAGGATATAATTATCTCGTAACCACTCAAAGACGCGATTCAAGAAAAATTGAGAGAAGGAAAGAAGACACGGAACTCTTAAAGCGTGGGTGGCAAGCATAAATT